GAAGTTTAAAAAAATAATCGTTTGAATAATCGTGATTTCAATTTTGACCCAAATAATCGTGATTATGATTTTTTCCATAATCGAGCAGCCCTATGTTGCAGCCATATTCAGGTATCAAAAGCAGATAAATTATCTGAAGATAATGGAAATCTTCACCTTATGATCCTCATCACATGAAGCTTAATAATAAAGGAGAGCAGCAAAGATTAACTCATTATCTAAGTAGTGCAAATGTGTGTGTTAGGAGAACCTGTTATGATTCAAGCTAAAGATAGAAAATAGTCCACATCACCACCTAAATCCTGTGTATCTGTGTCAGTCGGCTGACAATCACTTCGTGTGCGGTGCTCCAGTTTGCTCTATTTTAATTATACAAAATGCTCAACTGTGTTAGAAAATGAGTCTCTGTAGTTCAAATGTGTTTGAGGAAAGATTCGGATTCATGCCGCATTTACTGTAGCCCTTCCACAGTGTCGAAGTGGACTACTTGTTGAAGACATTACGTGCTGAGTCCAAAACAAATGTTCTACACAGGAATGTCACCCAGGTACAATGCACACCAAGTCTGAGTCATTTCACATGCTGGTCTGCAATGGTCTGAGCCACAGCAGTGATGATGATATTTTGCTTTTCATGGTTCTTGAGAAAAGACATAAACTTTCACCCAATGTTGGTGAGGCGACAAGAGGATGGTGAATGTCAGCCATTTTCAGTGTTTCTTTATGTGTTTGCAGGGACACAAAATCTCTGGCGTGTATGAGCGCGAAGGAGACTCGTTTCTGTTCCTGTCGTTCAGCGTTATCTGACGGCTTTTGTTGTATCGGTGGCCTGAGCCTGTGGTGGTGGCTCAGATAATTCACTAAATAAGATGTGTACCAGGTAGGTTGATCTTGTAACATCATTAAACAGACACGGATTCCATTGGTCAAACCCTAAACTCTGACAGCGAAATTTGGAAGAAACAACACAACTCACACAAGTTTTGCCATTGTGTGAAAATACATCTTTGGAGAGCAAGAAACAACAGAAACCCAAGCATTTTGTTTGGGTTTGTGTGAATATCTTGCATGTAAATCCAGACTTGGTGTGGAAGTACCTTTGGTACTGACCCGCGTATCTCAGATGCCCACAAACAATTTTTGGATGATAGTTCCTGCTCTCAACTGCATCACCACACGATGGTAATGTAACGTTGACACACAAATAACAAGTGACCAGTTTCGTGTCTCTGCCAGTTGATTTTAACTGAAACCAGTTGCTGCCTGGAAGGAAGAAAATCAATGTAAAACCTGATGGGTGATTAGGAAAACAATCAACTGGGATGACATGGGCCCGAAACTTAAAGTTAAAGGGGTACTCCAGTAATTTGGTATTGCATTAATGCTGTATCTATAAGAGAGACCAAGATATCCTGACATCTAGGCCTTGCTCAGACTGCCAGGCCAAATCTGGTTTTAAATCCAGATTGATTTTAGAAAGTCCAGACAGCCAAAAGAAAATAAATGAAAAATTAAATGCAATTTTTGCGAATTCACATTTGGAAGTGTTTCAAAATGCGATTCCAATCGGATTTCCACAGATGCGTCTCAGTCTGGACACTGGCTGTATGTCAAAGTGTCCTTTTTTGTGTCTATCGCAACGTGATAAACAGACAACGTCAAATCCAGAGCGATGGAGGTGCATCAGAGTGGCTCAGTATACCAGGCTGCTCTGTTGCTGAGTCTGTCCGGTACAAGGAAGGGGTTCTTGTTTGGAGCGCAATATGATGGATCTCCGTTTTTCATGCTTCTTCATTGGAAAGCCACGTCACCAGCACACATAGTTACTGATGCCTACCTCATTACCATAGCAACCCATGCAGGTACAATGGTGATGTCTCTGCATACAAATCCAATCTGATCAAGTGCAAATATCAGTGCAGACAGTCGGCCTTAAAGATCTGATTTTAGAACAAATCTGATTTGCCTGCAGTCTGAACAAAGCATTAGTCCCTGGAATGGGTCAACCTCCAAAAGTACTGGATCCTAGAATTCCCAAAATTCAATTCAATACAATCTTTCTTTAGACTTTTGCTGCATGGAGCAACCATGTTTCTTTCCCCAACCTAATGCTTTGTGTTATAAATCTATAGTTTCCAAGCCCAAGCCAATAATCTTCATCTAGAGCACTTCCACTTATAAGCATGATGATGAACTGTTCTTCATATGTAAAATTGGTGGCGTGCCCCTTTAACTGTAGCGTCACATTAAAATGTATGGCAAATTAAAATATAATTGTGATTGTAAAATCTGTGTGTGTCTGTATTTCAGCTCCAGCAGGGTATCGGCAGGCCCAGCGTGTATCATGCGGTGGTAGTGATCTTCCTGGAGTTCTTCGCCTGGGGATTACTCACCACGCCCATGCTAACTGTGAGTAAACACTGTGTGGTGGTGGGCAGATGGTGGTCACAGGTTTACGTCAACATTCAAGCTGCCGATTGGGTTCACAGTACAGAGTGATGGGATCAGCTTCCATTTAGAGAAGGCAACGCACTTCATGATGAGATTTGAGTAAAATTCTAGATTAGTCCAGTTTAAGTTTTCTGTTCTCTGAATTTAGCTTTTTTAGATTAGCAAAGTAAGAGTACGAGTTCTGACTGAACAGAAAGTTAACACTAATGTTTTGTTGATCAGATTTTTTGTAAATTAAATGTCTATATCAAGTAAAAAGAATAAAAACTTTTAAATGAGCCTGATAAATTATGCATTTTGTATAGACATTTATATATTCTTTTTCATAGTAATTGACCTTTCATAAGTCCCGCCCCTTTTTGCTCTGTGCTCCAATAACAGTTGAGCACACCTCGGTCAACTTTCTCCTTTCCTGTACTGAGATATGCTATGTGCTACAGTCGTCCACTGACAAACAAAATGTTAAGATAGTTAAAAGATAAAAGCGACATACAGGCACATCTTAAATGACCAAAATGCTAAATTCTAACTAATTAGCGAGCTAATCTACATCAATCTTTAGCTAGTTAGAGCCTACAGCTAATGTTAGAAAAACGCCAGCTAAATGGTTGTCTTTTCAACATAGACGAGCCTAGCATATATCATATCTAAGTACAGGAAAGGAGAAAGGTGAGCGAGGCTTGCTCAGCTGTTATTGAAGCACAGAGCAAAAAGGGGCGGGACTTAGGAAAGGTCAATTGATTTTTTTTTATTTGCAACAGCAGTTCATTTTTTCCAGAGAACATGCAGTTATCGAAAATCTGTGACGTTGTCTTGTACTGTTCGCTCTGGTCTGGATCATGCCCATATATAGAAAACAGAAATCAACTCTTGGTGATGTCAAGAGTTTTATTTCATTCTTCATTACTGCCACAGATGTAGAAATCCAGGTTTATAAACTGTCTCTGGCAGATGTTAAGAACCATAGCTACTTATAGGTAACTCTAATCTGGAGTTATAATTGAAATGACATCAGGAGATCAGGAGATCAGGAGTGTGCACCAGGCAGCAGTTGGGTTGCCGTGAAACATGAGCCGTTAAAGTGTCAGTTCAAACGGCTACTGATTAAAACTGAGAGGGATCACTGAAACACTCCAGTGTAGACAGGGTCTGTTTTTTATTAATCCCAATGGAGCAAGATTCATAGATTGTTACCTTGTAGGGTTTTTGTGGAGCAAGAAAGCTTTTTGCTGAAACTCTAAACTATGTTGGTTTTCTAAATGTTGTTGTTGTGCCTCTCTTTGTAGGTTTTACATGAAACATTTCCCCAGCACACCTTCCTGATGAACGGACTCATTCAGGGTGTGAAGGTAAGAACTTCAACACTTCAGTGATTCATTCTGTAGATATCAGTACATCTTAAAATAGAACTGCTGTGATTTAGAGTTGTGGCTCCATAAAGCTGAACTGTGTCTGGTTAACACCCTCATCTTTCAACGCCAATGGGTTGTCACTATGACATCATCAGGGTCATTTCCTCAACCCTAACCCTTTCAGGGGCTGAGAAGTAACCGTGGCTAGTAAACTTACCCTAATGTTCAAAGGATGAATCAATGTGGAATTTTGTTTAGTATAGGCAAAAAGAAGAGAAATATATTTCTCTGTAGCAGACAATGTGAGAGGTTTTTTTTGTTGTCACTGACTCCGCCTCTTCATCTCAAGGGTCTGCTGTCATTCATGTCTGCTCCTCTGATCGGCGCGTTGTCGGACGTGTGGGGGAGGCGGTCCTTCCTGTTGGTCACTGTCTTCTTCACCTGCGCCCCTATCCCTCTGATGAGGCTCAGCCCCTGGTAGGACTCACTGTTCTGAATGTTCAATCAATTGAATAAAACGTCCGTCTGCCTGAAAGTGGAGCTAAACAGTGTCTCTCTCACCTGCCCGGCCCCCGCAGGTGGTACTTCGCCATGATCTCCATGTCTGGAGCTTTTTCTGTCACCTTCTCAGTCATCTTCGCCTACGTCGCTGATGTGACGGATGAAAGAGAGAGGAGTACAGCATACGGTCTGGTAAGGACTCCTGTTTGAGCTGTTTTCCCTGAATTTGTCACATATATATACATAACATATATATGTTTTAATTTATGTGGATATTATGTTTAACCAATCAAGGGGATAAAATTAATAATAGCTTGCAAGTGAGTATAAAAAAAATTGAAAAAGACGTTCAACTTTAAAGGACACCCAGTTGTGTATGTGCATGAAAAGAATCTGAAAGGATGATTGTTTTCTTGAGCATTCTCTTGTAAAGTATCACATAGGCAGCGACATGAACATCACAATGACCTCATACTATCAGACACACGGATGGAGGGCAGTGTTGAATGACTGACACTGAATCTGCAACCTTAGAGCAGAAACTGATGGGTCAGCTTAATCAGAGTTCAAACATCAGCTCAGAACAGCAAATATATTTATAATATCTGAGGAGACAACAACCTTTGTGTTTGTGTTTGGACCTAGTTTGGGTCTATTTGTCAATTCAATTGTACAAAGATATAGTTAAATTAGCCTAATAATAAGACAGCTGCCATTTTGTTTTGGTAACCAGTCATTAGCATTAGCATCTGTCCTGCCAGCGTCATTTTAGGTCAGCACAGAAGCTGTGGCAGTAGTTTTTAGAAGCAGTTAACTGAGAGGTTTTCACAACAATCCACATTTTCCATCCTCTAAAGTCTCCTCCATCCTCCTCTCTCCTCGTTGCCCCCAGGTGTCGGCTACGTTCGCAGCCAGCCTCGTGACGAGTCCAGCCATCGGGGCGTACCTGTCGGCCTGGTATGGAGACAACCTGGTGGTTCTGTTGGCCACACTGATCGCTCTGGCCGACATCTGCTTCATCCTGCTGGCTGTGCCCGAGTCTCTGCCGGACAAGATGAGGCTGAACACCTGGGGGGCGCCTATATCCTGGGAACAGGCCGACCCATTCACTGTCAGTAACCAATAATTTGCAGTACAGTATCTGATTGGTTGAATAATAAACTCATAGCTGATTGATTTGCTTTGGTTTGTAGTCGTGTAAAGTATTTTCATAGTGATTTGACTCTTAACTGCTAACTGATTGACTGACAGCGCCAATGTTGTATTTTCTATCTCTTTGTCCCTCTCTCTGTCTCTCTCTCTCCTTCAGTCTCTGAGGAAGGTGGGTCAGGACTCCACGGTCTTACTGATCTGCATCACTGTGTTCCTGTCTTACCTGCCAGAGGCCGGACAGTACTCCAGTTTCTTCCTCTACCTGAGACAGGTGAGACACACCAGTGAAGTGTTTTCCTACAAATGCTGCTAGTACTAACATTATTACTGCTGTTATTACTGGGATTGCTTCTTAAGGCCACTGGGTGGAGGATTAAAAAATGTACATCTTTGGTGCAGTCCAGTGATGGTAGCCAGCCAGCAATGTCTTATGTTTAAAAAATTCAAACCTGTAGTGGAAGTTGTCATACTACTGACAAGTGAATCTGAATGAGCTGGTTAGATTTGGCACTGGTGCTTGGTGCTGGTATTTGGGATTTGACCTTTTAAATTATGTTGTGTTGACATTGACATCCCTTAAAAAATACTTTTTGTCCCTCCAGGTTATAAATTTCTCCTCCACAACCATCGCTGTCTTTATTGGAGTAGTGGGAATTCTGTCTATTGTAGCACAGGTAACACACACACACAAACACACACACACATACATACACTCCTCATTTCAAGTGTCACATATCCTGATTAAAGCTGCAGTAGATAACTAAAAATCACTTTTTATCATATTTGCTGAATCTTTCACTATAACCTGACAGTAGTACATGAGACAGATACTCTGTGAAAAATTATGTGTATATTTTAAAGTTACCTACTGCAGCTTTAAATCTAAATGTGATTTAGTACACTTTGTGTACACGTAACCCTATTCACGCAATATATGCAAGTTATTATAAAATATTATATGAGAACTTTGTAGCTAACTGCCAAAATGTTATTTAAATTTAAAAAATGTTAATTGTTGACATTTTTGCAGGGACAGTGCACAATTAAAAGTAATTACACCAGAGTTAGCTAGCAGCTAATTTGTGTCTGTTGTCACTGGGCAGATAGACAACAGCCCCAGAACAGTAAATACACTACATTAAACAGTACAGAGAAGTCCATCAGTGTGAGATAATAAATGAAATTAGTGAAACCACAGAAGAAGAAGAACTTTTAGCACTAACTGTTTGCTAGCTAAGAGCTATCCCAAACCTGCACTAACACATAGACAACTTGTGGTCATACAGTATGTAACATTGTAAAGTGACAAATATTTAATATTACTTACTTTTACTACTCATTATATTAATAAATGTTAATGAATTCTACACATTTCTTACATAAGTACAAGGTTAGAATAACATTTGTATTTTTTTTTCTCTCCCTTCCTCCTTTCTCAGACTCTTTTACTCACTCTGCTGATGAGGACTCTGGGTAATAAAAACACTGTTCTGTTGGGTTTGGGCTTCCAGATCCTTCAGCTGGCCTGGTACGGCTTCGGATCAGAGCCATGGTGAGATCTATGTGTGTTTGTTTACCGTTTTAGTGGAGGGTTACATTCATTCTGTTGCTGTAAAGCTGCTGTCAGACAGAAAACGGTTACTGCTCTATCTGCTGACACAGCGACGTCAGTGTTCTGTATTTTGATTGGGCAGCAGAAGGGAACAATTCCACCACCGCAGCTACAGCTGTACTATAGGCTACAGTTGCTGCTATGCACCTACTCTAGTCTCGCCATAGATATACAATAAACCCTAAAAACCAAACCAGAAGTTGGCTATACAGTCCAATGAGAATTGCTAGCCTTTTGCATTTATTTTCTAGCTTCTGGGTTACTTCCTGGTTGTGCGGCCCATTGAATATGTGCAGTTTCTCCCACTGGTCCCACCCACGTGGTCCCGCTTAGCCCATTTTCAGATTTTAGATTTTTCTCAACTAGAGGAACCTTTTACAAATATAAAACCTCCATGGTTCAAAAAATCATACCAGACAGTTTTATCTTTCATAATAATAATAATATGGCTGCTATACCGCGCATGGCCACTGGGCAAAATTGGAAGTAAGGCTGAGTGGCACCCCTGTAGCTAGTTCTTAGCAGGGACCTGTTTCGTCAGTTACAGGTCCTCAGACCGATGTCAGATACACAACACGCTAAAAAACAACATGGATGATAACACACAGGGATCTGACATATACACGTTTAACTTGTGTTAAATGGGTTAACAGGATGATGTGGGCGGCTGGTGCTGTGGCAGCGATGTCCTCCATCACCTTCCCAGCTGTCTCTGCTCTGGTGTCACAGTCTGCTGATCCTGATAAACAAGGTGACAGAAAATCTCCCTTCTCCTCTGCTCTCCTCTCCTCTGCTCTCCTCTCCTCTCCTCTCCTCTCCTCTGCTCTCCTCTCCTCCTCTCCTCTCCTCTGCTCTCCTCTCCTCCTCTCCTCTGCTCTGCTCTCCTCTGCTCTCCTCT